GAGGTTTCTGTAGAGTGCTTGATAGTTTTCCTGCAACATAGGATTCACTGAAAAAAAATGCAAAAACTGAGAAACAATTGTTTTTTTTGTTTTTTTTTCGTACTACTTAAAATAAAAACTTGAATAACTTCCTCATTTTTCATCCGTTTTTCTTCAAACATATCACAAAAAATTCTATTAAGCAAGAAATAACAGAGTGTGGTTTTACTTCTTCTCGATTCCCTGCATATAACGAAAAACCACGAAAAACTGCTCAAAATTCCGTTTTTCGGCCAACACCCACCCCCCGGATTTTTCATCCGATGCTTTCCAAATTTGCCATGTAAATTACATATGACACACACATTGTCTTGCGTGAATGTTTGGTTTAGATTATTTCAGTTAAGTGGACGAAATCTGCGAAAAACTAATTCCCCCCTCCACAAAAAAAACGCTTTCTGCCATTTAGTCAATAGTTTCTTTATATGATTCTATCCTAAGTTGTCATTTGAACAAACTTTGATGCAATGATGATTGAGAAGGAATAACCTCTTATTAACACCAGCTTTACAGTAAATGGGCGAAGAATGGAATGGCGCTCATGTGTTTGCACTTGCAGTTGAAATAAGCTCAGACGCTTCATTTCTGTTTTTGTTTCATTATTAGATAAACAATGCCATCCAATTTGAAAGTTATTACGGCCATACACAATGTACTGAATATCTAAAATATTGAAACACATTAACCCCAAGCAACGACGACACAAGGTTTTGTCGATGGTATTCCTTTATTAACAACAATCAAATACTTGCAAAAGACAGAGTAGCTTACTATACCAACGGATGATGCATGCAAACAGGGACGGAGGCAGACATTTCGAGACAGGAGATGCGGGTATACAGTGAGTGAGTTTAGACAATTGCAGCCATGTATACCCGGGCAACGCCGGGTAGCTAGGCTAGGAATAATAATAATAATAATAATAATAATAATAACACATCTACGCAGAAGCCGGTCTCAGTCGAGATTATAGAATCAGTATGACTTTCATGAATTTGACGATGGTTTCAGAGTACCTGCTAAACAAGGGCGACTTACGATTTTGAATTCATAGTTTTCTATCTTCTAGCTCCAGGGCTAGAGTCCCAGTTATATCATTTTATTTCAGCCGTAGCTGGAGGGAAAAGTGATGGATTCAAATCTCTTTCATGGATATTTACGCGAAAGTGATTGTAACGAAATCAGCTTATTGTGCTGTTAATCATCACACTACATGCATATTAACATTTAATATATGATGCAACAAATTATCTTTAAAATGCAACATATTATCAATATGCTTTGTCTGGAAGGAGGCACAATGGAGTAATGGATAGCGGCTCGGATTGAGAAATCGGAGAGCCGAGTTCGAATTCCAGTATGAATCCTCTTCTTCTTCCTCCCGGCTATGGGTAAATAGGAGGACAGACTGAGTTCTATAGACTCGGATGGCAACTGATCTACCGCGAAAAAATAATGGCGACCTACTGCGAAAAAAATCTGTCTCGTCAGTCATGTATCGAAAGATACATGATCACCTCAGCGTTTATCACGCATGGCACCTAACTGACTGATTTTGTTTTCAAACAACCACGTGTTCCGCGCCAAGTGACAACCCATTCTCATTCAGTGTTTCCATTTAACATCAGAATATCAAAATGTCCTCGAAGTATTCTTTGAATTAAGTCTGCAGTCCATTTTATTTCGTTTTAAAGGCGGCTAACTTCATAAAATATTATGGTTAATATATTGGTGGCTGAATGTAAATATTTCGAGAGAAACCATTCAAAAATACTACTGAATAAACATGTTCATAATCATTTACAGGTACTGTCGAAAACTGACTTCTTAATTTTTTTTTTTATAAGTTCCGTCAATTGTTTTAGTTTTTGATAAGTTTCAAAAATAGATATAAATTTTGATATTAGTTTGATATAACTACCCAGGTGAATTCCATTTTTATGCGATTTAAAATGTGAAATAAAAATGTGTTATTACATGTCAGTTCGAATATAGCAGAAAATCATATTTCGATGACATTTGTTATTATATGTATTAAATGTCCCTTTCGTTTCTTTTATATTTGAAACTTCGACATTAAGCATATTTTTTTGCTTCAAAATTCGTCACCTGTGAACTGATTGTCTATCATTCACTACCATATAGCAGGACTATATGGCAGTGAATGTTAGGCAAAGACCCAACACTACTATATTGTATTTAAATAGACGTATCATACATGTATGATTATCTTTATATGGGGGTCATTAATAGCTACTTATTTTTCTCCTTTACAGTAGCGAATGTTGGACGATCTCCTCAATGATAAAGAAGAGACTCGACGCAGCGGAGTTATGGTTCTACAGAAGGATGCTAAGGATGCGATGGACCGATCATGTGAGTAACGATGAGGTTTTGGAGAGAATATAAACAAGGAGGAAGCTTATGCTTAACATCAGAAAGGGGCAGCTGAAATCACTGGGACACGTAATGAGATAGAAGGGATAGGAGAATCTGATACTCACAGGGCGGATAGAGGGAAACAGAGACAAGGGAAAGAAATGCGTGGTATACCTCGCGGGCTTAAGCAAGTGGATGACGGAACAGGATTTGGGAGTAGCAAATGGCCAAACATATTGAGAGCGACGTGGAATGGGGGAAGCGGAGAGCCATGATCGCCTATGTGATGATGGGCGACGACACATAAAAGAAGAACTTTAATTTACCGGATAGTTTTTAATCGTTTCACTCCAAGCAAGGCAATAAAACTACTCGGAAGCAAATAGTTATTAAGTGTTAGAGAATATGAGAAAAACAGCATTAAGTGGAGAGAATCAGAAAATAACAAGAATTAAGAAGACAGAAGATAACGATGGATAATACAATTACATTTTTGAATATCAAAGTTGACCGGAGGGAAAGAAGCCCGAAGAATGTTCCACAAGTGAGAAGTTCTACAGAAGAATGTATTAGCATGGAACTTACGGTTAAATTTAGCCACTTCAATTTATGGTTACATCTATCTCATTTAACAGATATTTTCGTCAATATAATACCAGGATTAAATTTATACATTCTACGTACCACAAAAGAAAGTTCATCAGAAGTATCTTTAAAAGAGTCACATGGAGATTACATTACAGTAGTGGGAAAATGACTGAAGCCGAGATGCCAGCTGGGGACGAAAAAACCATTGGGGATTCTTCTTTGGATTTTATCAAGAATCTCTAAATATATACCAAGAGCACCAGACCAGAGGTGGTAAAAATGTTCAAATCATGGACGATTGGTTGACTTATAAATATGTAAGATAGATTCTGGCGAGGAAAATTATTTGGTACGACACAGCGAATCAAATTTCCTAGAGGAAGACGTTAGTCTCGAAGGCGCAATGTGTAACTCTCCCAGAGGTTAAAATCAATCATGCATTTGGAGGTTCAAAAAAGGATTTGTAAGAAGATTACAGGAGAGCAGTTTCGATTTGGAGGCATTACAATTAACAAACCATCAGTTAACAACAGATTGTAGGTAGATTTAAGATCAGTTGTCAATCTTATTGAAGCTATCTGACTTACTATTAAGACACGAGTAAATGGTAAATTTTCCGATCGCGTTTGAGATTTACTTGTATTTGCAAGGCGTAAACTGGATTTGGTTGAGATGACAATTGCATAATGATTCTCAAAGACAAGAAGCTGCAGCAGATACCAGAAGGAAGACGAATAGAATATCGGTTTAATATATGATGATGCCAAATTTTTGCGATTCGTAAAATCATAGGAATGCTTTCTCTAAATAACTTCAGTTCTTTGGAAGTCATATTTTAAGCAAACTACATTTCCTTTATCTATCTTTGAAAACATTAGTATAGTTCTGTCGTTTCTAAAGAATGTATTTCTTCTTTTGTTACAATTAAATTAAAATTGGCCTCATTTTTTTTAATGATAAACTTTTAGATAAGCTAATGATAAGCTTTTTAAAGTCGAATAGATATTAAAAGACACAACACACATATGCAAATACATGAACTCATAATGTGTATACGTTTAAAAAATACATATCGAAATGAATAAACATAATATAAATTTTGGGGAGTAGGTCAATCCGATGGCATTTCAGAACACCGTCATATATATATATATATATATATATATATATATATATATGTGTGTGTGTGTGTGTGTGTATTTATGTGTGTGTGTGAATAAATATATTTTTAAGATGTGGTATGTTTATGGAATATGGTGCTCAATTTCATACATAGAGTGTATGTAAATACAAATATAAAAGTGAAATTTTAAGTCAACACTCAGATGCGACAGGCTGTTTCATGCTGGACACAATGGTCAGAGCGCCTGACGATTTTGTCCAGCATGAAACAGCCTGTCACCTAAGTTTTGACTTAAATGATGATATATATATATATATATATATATATATATATATATATATATGTGTGTGTGTGTGTGTGTGTGTGTGTGTGTGTGTGTGTGCGTGCGTGGGTGGGTGTGTGTGTTTGTATGTGGATGTGTGTTTGGTTCGGTTGGTGCTTAGAAATACGTCTTTTCTAAAACGATTATAAACTTTCTCTTTTTATCAACAGAGGTACACATCGCTTTCTATTCGTTTCGTAAATATGAGCGACTTTAGATTTACTGATACAAATTCTCACCACACAAAACACACACAGACATTCAAACTGTTTCTCACATACACAGAAATACACACACAAACACCCACCCCCATATATATATATATATATGTGCAAATTCAGACGCATCGATATATATATATATATATATTGCTGCTGTTATTAAAATAGTGTCTAATGAAACGCGGCATGTATGTATATATATATATATATATATATATATATATATATATATACAGAGAGAGATAAATAGATAGATAGAGACAGATATAATGAGGGTGATATATAAGACATATTTTTGTAAATATGAATATGAGAGCGCTCAGAATTACTATTCCGACCTCGTATATATAGCTATATGTATGCACGCGCATATAGTTAGATACATAGATAGATAGATAGATAGATAGATAGATAGATAGATAGATAGATAGATAGATAGATAATGACGAGAGAACTTTACGATGCGTACATTGACGTATCCCGCTATATTCAGAAGTGAGCAGACATTTCTTTTTTATTTTCAAAACGACACTCTTTTTTCATATTGGCTTTATTTTCTCGTTTCGTTTCGTTTTCCTTTCTTTTATTTTAACAGCCTTCATTATTCAATAAAAGAAAAAAATGCATCATTGATCATTTCGTTCTTCTTTTCTCTTGCTTTTTGTCAGTTACTTGTTTCCTTCCATTTTCTCGTGTATTCAGATTTCTTTTGAATGAACAACTAGATCAAATAATATTCCTGTATTGCATTAGAAATCTTCAAGGATTATCCTTTAAAAAAGAAATGAAACCAAAACCGATAATGCACTTAAACATGTAGCTTGAATGAAAAAAAAAATTTGCCTCTACAATATTTTTTAGTAAAAAGTAACTGAAACATCCCCGGCGCACTGAAGCTTTCTCATTGCTTGTTATTCGGTAACAATGTAACCCATTTAGTGCCCAATTCCACGGAAGCGGATCTCAGGAATTTATATGCATAGATCACTGAGGTCAGCCTTAATTGTCTCTCTGGTTTTCCTCCGGGCAAAATATTCAATAGCTGAATGTAAAAAATAGCAAAGTAAATCGCTTTATTTAATACAGCGGATTTCAACATTCCTTTTTTATTTCATTTCTTTTCCATTACCTCAAACTTATGCCCCAATGTCGCTGATTACCCAGAGTGCAAAAATGCATCAATCTATTCGATTCTTTCTTTTTTATATGCCATGGCCTTTCAAGACGTAGGAGATAATTGCTCTCTACCTGCCTCTATTCCTTGCATCTCTCAGCAAGTTTTTTTCTCTCTGCTACCTCCCCCAGACCCCGTTACCTCAACCTCTTGCTTAAGACCGTTAGTTATGTCATTCGTTGTTTTCTCTTGTCTCTCTTTCTCTCTATTCGACCCGTGTGTATCAGATTCTCCAGGCCCTCCTTCCTCATTATATGTCCCAAGAATTTCAGCTGCCTCTTCCTGATGTTAAATATAAGCATCCTCCTTGTTTGCATCCTCTCTCAGACCTCACCGTTGCTCACACGCTCGCTCTGTAATATTCAGAGCATCCTTCTGTTGAACCAGATCTCCGTCGCCTCGTGTCTCTTCTTCATCTTTGAGATAATTGTCCACCATTCTCTGCCGTAAAGAATGGCAGATGGCACGTAGAAAATGAGTATTCTTTGTTACAAAAGAAATCCTCCTGTCTCGCAAAACTTTGTCCAGCTTTAGGAATGCGTCCTTGGCCATACTCCCAATCTCAGTGTCACGTTTACCGTCCTCTGTCAGAACACTTCCAAGATATTTGAACTTCTAAGTTTGCTTGATTCTAGTGTTCCCGACCTGCAAATCGTATTTCGTGCTCATCCTTTTACTGATGACCATGCATTTTGTATTCTTTTAATTTACGCTTAGTCCCTTAGTCCTTGCCACTCTGCGTCTCTACCTTCTGCAGGAGATTCTGAAATTTCTTTTCCGTGTCTACTATCGGTAATGTGTCATCTGCGTATCTTATGTTGATAAGATTGTTGCCGCCAACACTAAATCCCGGTAAGGTATCCAACGATAGTGTTCTTAATAAAATAAAATAACAAGACGACGTATTATAGTGTATGCATTATTTAATGAAAATTAGATGTCGTAATTTAAAAAAATAATGAGTTACTAATGAAACTAATTTGAAACGTGGTCTTATTTTCACCGTGTGAGTTTATTTTTCAAGAGGAGAAAACATATAGTGATTTTTTTTTTTGCTCAGATGTGGCACAAGGCCGAAAGTATGTGGACACCCAGTGAGGACAAAACATATATCTGGTAACATGTGGAGACGATCTCCGTATTTTTCGATTTCGGACTATAAAATTATTATTTTATCTAAAATTTAAGAAATTACCCAATGTTTAACAAAAATGATTTTATGTACATGGCAAGCCGGACGCTATGAATTGCGTCACATCACAGTATCATTTTTGCGAACATTCATCAAATTAATAATAATTCACGCACGCGCGCACACCACACCTCCACACTATCTATCTATCTATCTATATATATATATATATATATATATATATATATATAGATAGATAGATAGATAGATAGATAGATAGATAGATTGTTTCTTACATATATACTCTATCCGATATATATATATATATATATATATATATATATATATATATATATCGGATAGAGTATATATGTAAGAGACAATATGAATAAAGACGAAAGAAAAACTTATGTTAACAAACGCGCACATATATACGTGTGATTGTGTATATATCTGTCTGTGTTAATAAATGCATATGTGTGTGTTGTGTGTGTGTTTGGGGGGTGAATTAAGGCATATATGTGTGTTTGTGTGTATGTGAATAAAGGCATATATATGCACATATATATATGTGTGTGTGTGTGTGTACATGTGTGTGTCTCTGTGTGTATGTGTGTGGTTTTGTATGTGAATAAAGCTAAAAGGAAAGGTTTACTTTACAGACGCGATTTGTCCTCAGATCCAATTTACCAAGGAAAATGTAAGATTTTATTTATCAAAATGTATTCATCTACAGAAGTAAAAATAAAAGATTTTAACAGTATCTTACTGTTGATTATCTTAATTCAGCACAGCCATTTTGTTGACTGCAATACTCTCGCTTCAGTGGCTCCCGAGACTTGTATTTACAGATATATATTTCTTAAGATGCTTCTCTCCAATCATCCCAAGCAAAGGATTCTATAACGAGAGGAGAATATTTTAATAATGTTTTCTACAGTTATAAAATATCATCATCATCACCATCATGAAAAACCACCATCAGGAACAGAATCTTCCCTATGCTCAGTACGCCTTTGTATCAACAACAGTCTGGATAATCTCACTTCCGTGGGACCGGAATGCAGCTGTTGAAATCTGTCGTCTTTTGATTTTACAAACATAACATATGCGAACCCATGTCTAACTATATGAGGTGGCTTATTGGTTTTGAATTCAGAGTTCACCTTCTCATGTTGCCATTCACGTCTACACCCCATCCCCGGTCTAAACTGCTAATTAAACTCTAGTTGGCGGGTGGAGAAGTGATGCATTCCATAACTTTTACATGATTTGTGGGAAAGCGAATGCAAACAATTCCAAGTTGTTTCCCCGATTTCTTATTGAAAACCGTTAACCATTGCATTCTGAAGATGCATAATAAAGTCCCACACCACAAAATATATTACAGAGAATAATTCTGAAAAATAAATAAAATTATTATGAGCTGAAATTCACATGATACATTTATTTTTAAACATAAGCATATCATGATTTTTTTTTCCAGCGTCGGATTTTTAGTACCTACGTTTTACTGAAAAAAAATATGTTTACACATATACATATATATATGTACGTTTCCTCGCATCTATATGGATATATACCTAAGGTATGTGTTTATGTCCGACAGTAAATTCTATTGATCATATTTTACATACAAATATTTATGCTTTTTGTTGAGAAAATATTTTTTGCAGTCATTGTTTTTCTGAAAAGTATGAGTTTAAAATGCAAGTTTATTTACTTCTATCCTTTCTGTACGGGATTCACCTCGCAAAGGTAGGTCAGTGGTCCACTGCAGATCTTAAAGAAGCAAAATCTTTGATTCTAACTGAAAAGCACATTAAAATGACATAAAATTGTAAATAAATTGTTAATATATACATGTTTTCATAGCCAATGCCACGCATACATATCAATTTAATCGCACACACAAACACACACAAACCACACATGGTGAAAGATATATATATATATATATATATATATATATATATATATATATATATATATATATATAGTGTGTGTGTGTGTGTGTGTATTTAGGCAGCATCTTTTCATTCATACACGTTTCATTAAATAATATAGACAAGTAAATGTAATTTTTTTCGTAACGTCTGATAAGTTTAATAACATTATCGTTGAACGAAGAAGAAATTCACAATATTGATCCATATTTTTGTAATACAATCTAAGCTTAAGCCATTATCCAAGATGTCAATTACAACATATTAAGCAATATACGGACAAGACAGTGATGATAGTGTATCAATGTTTACATAGATGATTTCTAAGCAACGACAAACACGTGCATATAAGACGCTAGAAGCGAAAATCTCACCGCATCTCATGACGTCACAAATGACCACACGAGAGGAAATTGGATGAAGTATGAAGTATGGAAATCCGTTGGTATAAACCAATGGCTTCTGTTACCAATTATAGACATAACACTTGTCTATATTATTTAATGAAACGTGTATATATATATATATATATATATATATATATATATATATATATATATATATATATATATATATTTATGTGTGTGTGTGTGTGTATATGGGGAAAATATGTAAATGGAGAAACATTGAGCCGAGTTCAATTCCAGTCGAATACATTACATTCAGTTACATGCTAATAACCTTGAGAAAAGCTTTTAATCCTCTTCTTCGCCCTCCAGCTATGGGTAAATAGTAGAACAGACAAAATACCAGATTTCTGTATTCGGCTCTTCAAGATGTGATTGGTACAAATCATATGTGCCGGTGTTTGGCTGTCGGTTCCTAAGAACTGAGCCGCTTCACCCTACCCTCATACGCCGAATACGACGGGAGAGTCCACCATATATAAGGTATATCAAAAATACTTTTACAATCTTAGTGAGCATGTTCCAGACAGCGAAAGAAGGTAAAATCTACATATAAATATATGTTCAAAAAGCCATCATTGTACCTCAAGTTCAAAATGTCCCCCGCTTTCTTCTACACATGCATGCACCCGTCGGATCCTTGACTGGCGCACGCTTTCACATAATCCCACACGGTATCAAATAGTTTCGCAGGCTACATGACGTTGATGAAAAGTCTCTGCATTATTAATGTCTGCTGCATTGACCAATTGTTTTAGGTGATCCCAGAGGTAAATATCCAGATGATTAAGGGCAGGACGAGATACAGAGTACGGAAACTATCT